AAAGATCTTACAGTAATGAGTCATGAGCCTTCCCTAAAGCCTGAAATCTTCTGGAGACAAACCCATTGACTGATGCTATGATGTTCGCTGCCTCTGCTTGCGACCCTTGTCTCCAACAGCCATCATGCTTCGCGCCGTGATGATCGTGATGTGAGCCATGGTTTTCGTGCGTGAAAAAAAAGGGGGGGCCAGTTTGACCCTACTACACACGCATCGACGTTTCGGAGAGGTGTCAGTCATGAGATATCCAGTTCCGTGTCCGTCTGTTCTTCTCCGGCCTCCGAAGCCCAGCCCGGCCACGCCCAGCCCAAGGCGACCGCCCCCCCCCGACCGAGCCCGCGCTGCCGGTTCAACCCGTCGGATGGAGCGGACTGAAGAGGTGAGTGGGAACGTCGGGTGTCAAAAACACCACCCCGGTGCTTGTGTAAAAAGGTGTGAAACGACCCAGCGGTCGGCTGTCACGGACCCCAGGTCTGAGAAGACCAGCCGGCGGACCGGTCCGAAGGCCAGCTGGCGGAGACCCAACCAGAAGCACATCAAAGGAGTCTTGGCTCATCAAACCGCTGAAACGGGGCGGCTCGGCCAACACACTTTTGCAAAAAGAGCTTTAATATAATTGGACATCTCCCTATGCAAGGTGCACAATGGTGCACACCCACAAGAAGGACATCCCGAAAACAAAGTGCTTGGCCGAAAAAGCCGTGTTCCCACTTTCTTCCTATTCTGGCATTGGAGGATCCAGTGATGAGCAAAACGGGGCCATTGAACGAGCAACAAAAATGAGGTGTGCCGCCGCTCAACGCCAAAATATACAAAATCAATCATATACAATCGCTCCTCTTCTTGCATGGCTCTGGCTCAAGCTGCACCTGGTCCGGGTCTCCTGTCCACCACTGGCCATGCTGATCGAGGGTCCACCCCTTGAGGGTTCCTCAGATCTCCGACGACTGCCCTGCGCGCGATTGAGGCGGCCAAGACTGGGAGAGGCCAAACCGTCCAATCTCCGTTTTCCAAGCAGAATTGCAAAAAGGACTCGAAGCAACAGGCCATGGCAATGAATTGTTTCTCTGTTCTTTTCTTTTCAGGCGTCCTGATATGTCCTGATGGTGTCGATCAATTGGTACCTCCGCAGGACCCATCTCTAGTCAACATCGTCAGGAAGGACCAAGGCTTCCTCCATCGCTCATCTTAGTCTTGGTCCTTCCTCCGCGCCGGAAGCTTGGCATCGGGGAAGCCCACTCGTGTGGCATCTGACCAGTCTGATCATGTCAGAACTGGACTTGTCGTGTTCGTCTTCTTGTCACACACTGTATTACGCTTGATTTTACCCAGACACTCCATGTATGCCGTATACCTAGACCCTCCCGAGGCAATAATTTTTGCCGTAGGCTGTTGAGGCAATAATTTTTGCCGTAACTCATTTTTTCTGCCGTAGCTCAATCCCTGGAAAGTGAAAACGCCGTCAGAGAAGTGAAAACGCCGTCACAAAAGAAGAATCGCCGTTTTGTTTGATCTACCAAAGAGGATATTGTTTTGGTCCGTCCATACTTCCTTTTTCACTTGTAAGTAGAGCTCATCGTTTTCAAGCCTCATGGTAGCACTTCTCAAGATGTTGCAGCCCTTGTCTAAGGTCGATTGAGATCACGGCAGGATTTGTTCACATTTTGATCATGCAATGGCTGAAAGGATCGCTTGTGACATGTTGTGACAAGTCTTGCTGCCACCTTGAGTGGCCCTAGACAGGGTAAGGGAACGACGCCGTAAGTAGGGGAAAACGCCGTAAGTACGGGGAAAAACGCCGTAAGTACGGGGAAAAACGCCGCAAGTACGGGTAAGAACGCCGTAACTTTAAACGCAAAATCTTCTGCAACGCCGCGCAAGAGGTCGAGTTACCCGCGAAAACCGACGAAAACCCAGCATGTGACACTTCCATCAGCTGCCCTTTCCACTTCACATGACTATGCGAGTTTGCTGATATAATAAGACGCCTTTTACGTTCAGTTGCCTTTCAAGCAAGACCCTCCAATGTTTTCATACTCGCCTGCACTAAAACTAAAACGAAATGACTCTTTGAGGCGCATGGATGTGTGGACCAAAATTGCCATCAACTGACCGAAACTGCCGCAGTTCATCAAGAAACGCCGTCCCCATGAGATCAATATGGAAGAACGCCGCAGAACGGAAAAAGGCGACGTTTCATGAAAACGGCAATTATTATTGCCGTAACGAAGTTCCAGGTATGCCTACATTGACCCCCCAAACCACCCCAATGTAAGCATATATGGCATACATGGAGTGTCTGGGCTATAAGACTTGAGGCCAGAGGGGGTGAACGAAAGCTAGCTAGGGGGTGAACGAGAGTCTGGTCGTCAGGGATGGGCGCTGCTGCGCTGGGTGCTCTGCTGGCGCCGGGTCGTCTGCTGCTGCTGCTGCTGCTGCTGGCGCTGGGTGGTCTGCTGCTGCTGCTGCGGCGGTGGGTGCTCTGCTGCTGCTGCTGCGGCGCTGGTTGGTATGCTGCTGCTGCTGCTCCTGCTGCTGCTGCTGCCGCTGGGTGGTCTGCTGCTGCTGCTGCTGCTGCTGCTGGTGCTGCTGCTGCTGCTGCCGCTGCTGCGCTGGGCGCTGCTGCGCTGGGTGCTCTGCTGGCGCCGGGTCGTCTGCGGCTGCTGCTGCTGCTGGCGCTGGGTGGTCTGCTGCTGCTGCTGCTGCTGCTCTGGGTCTGCTGCTTCTGCTGCTGCTGCTCCTTTGTGGTTTGCTGCAGCTGCTTGGTGGTAGACTGCAGATGCTTGGTGTGCTGCAGCTGCTTGGTGGTCCCGCTCACCGCGCGCAGGGGGGAGTCGAACCGCGGGGGGGGGGGGGTCCATAAGATTGATTTAATCAATTATTTGAGGTTTCTGAGGTGCGTCCACCCCGTCACTTAACTTGCTAAAGCAAGAGCAACTCCAGCTAGCTAAGGCTAGCTTTCGTGACCTCGTCTGTTCACATGCGAATCCGACGGAGATCACTCTCACCGGCCGAACTTGTCACTCGTGGCGACCGGTGTCCGTTGTTCGTACTCGCCGCGACCCGGTGGTTTATGTGGTTTTTCGTTGCCCCGCAAGATCCCCAAATGCTGCTGAGAAGCTGAGAAGCGACTCTCAGACCTTCTGGACCCCTCCATTGAGACTTCGGGGGAGGAAAAAAAAAATCCTGGCGCCCCGAAGTCGAAGTCTTAGACCAATGGGGATGTCCACCGACCTACACCACCGACCTGCAGGTCACTTAGCGCCATGTATACTCTTCAACCACTGGAGACAGGGGACCCGTTCGACCCATCAGACCCATGCGGTCGCGATGAGGCGACCGGGTTTCCCGAGGCGTTCCTCTTGGGGATCATTTCACTGGTGACCGTACCACTCAGTACGTTCCGTATACATCCAAACTGAGGAGGACCCACCCAAGAAAAAGATCAGAAAATCGTTGGCAGTTGAAGCACCTTCACGGGTCATAGCACATGCTACGCCATTCCTTCCGCTGCACTGGTCCATGGCCCAGAGGGGGCTTCCCCGGTCGGGCACGCGACGCGTCAGATGTTCATAGGCTTGCTTGTTCGATGGCGAAGTCTCGCAAAATCCTCAAGTCCCTCGGCGGCGCGAGCTTTTTCATTGCAGGCTTGGGCGGATTGCGCAGGATCCCTCCTTTCTGCAGCGACATAAACGCCGCGCGGTCGGTATGTATGGGTCTTGCGCCAGTTTGTACTACTGTGTCGTGCCTTATCCCCCTGTATCCCCCGACAGGTTGAGAGGTTCTGACCACCTAGAACCTCCCTCTCCACGTGCAAGGACCCCTCCCATGCAAGGTCCTGGAGCAGGCATGGCATGAACCCCGAAGGTGAGGTCTAAGACTTTGAGGATCGAAAAACGTGTCCCCTCTCTACTGGAAATGCCAAAAGATCATCCGAAAAGCACTGTTGTTTGACCTACTCGAGAACTCGGTTCTGCAACAGTGGTGCCAAGTGCAATGACCTTGCCAACTGACACCCAGATCCCTTTGCCAACGGCCTTGCCAATGTTTGCAGAAGGCCACACGGTGTTTGATTAGAGTCTTGACACATCTCCTTCGATCATTTACGGCTAACAGTGAATGAGGATAGCGATTACATCACGTCGCCGAATTCATAAGAACTCCCCTGCCCTGGATGGTCTAACATCTCCTGGTTTGGGAGGGTTATATATATATAACTATATATCAACTTGCTTTTTGTTTCTCAATGGTTTTATGTTGGGTCTGTCCTATTCCGTGGGCCCTGTGGAGGATGATGGCTAGGAGGCAATAGCCTCTCTCTACAATAGTGACATATACTTGTTTACCGACTGTTACAGGTAAATTCGGACGCCCTCAATTTTTTATGGGTGTTGGTCTTTCTCACAAGCTTTGGCATGAGTTGGTCTTTCTCAGGCCCCTTTCGCCTCAAAGGGTGGCCCCAAGTAAACACCCCACACATCCCCACACCTTGACCACCTCAGCCACCGGCAGCCGCAAGCACCGCAAACTAGGCCCCCGGGCGGCGATCGACGTCCTCAGCGGAGTTCCAACTCCAAGTTGGAGGGGCCGGAGATCGAATGATCATAATGAATACGAAGGTTGAACAACTTTATTTGAGAGAATACTTTGGAGGGCACTGATTGTCCATGATTTTCAGAGTAGGTGGTTGTTTGACACGAATGTTGAACAGCGTTTTTTGAGAGAAAACTTTGGATGGCACTGATTGTCCATGGTTTTCAGAGTAGGTGGTCGTTTGACACGAATTCCGAATGTTGAACAACGTGTTTTGAGAGAAGACTTTGGATGGCTGTGATTTTCACTAAACCGCTTTTCGCTAATGCCATTACCATACCAAGAAAGGCTGACTGAGCAAACCAAGCCTCAGTCAGTCACCAGTTTTGAGGGTCAACAGCGATTTCCGCTTCAATCTCAAACAGGGAACTGTTGTTCCATGGTCAATGAGCAAAAACAAATTAAGCTCACCCAACTCCGGGTATAGCATCTGCTCCACATCCTTCCTTCAGCCGAGCATCTGCTCCTGACCTGACGATGGTGAAGGAGAGCCATCGAATCGACTTTAAGGTGCCCTTCCTACTATTATTGTTACCTATTAGTTGGTTGGTTAACTATTAGTCGGTTGGTACCTTCCTATTAGTTGGTTGGTTAATGGAGGGGAGACCGCCTAGTCGTGTGGAACTTATATTGCATACCTGATCCCAAACTGACCTCTCTATGATTCGCAAAGAGACATCGGTCTGGGTACAGTCATAGAGGTTGATCAACACACACCCGGCACTACTACAATCTGACAAACAGTTGCAAGCTGCGTTTGTAAGAACCTGGAGCCCTTAGAGCACTAAACAAACCGGAAATATTTGCTGCAACTGTTGTTGCAACTGCTGAACAAGTGAACAACCTGTATAACACTTTATTAAAACTATGACTAGATCCGATAGCAGCTATTTGTTTGAGCCCTACCGCCGTGAGAAGCCCCCGTGGTTCCAGGAAAGGGGTGTGACGGCAGACTGCACACCGACACCTCCGAGGACTCCTTCCAATCTTCACCTGGGCGAGTTGTACCAGTACTCGCGGCCCCCGCCCGGTTCACAGCCAAACCCCTCGCTCGACATGCCTCCATTCGGTCGAGGCGTTTGGCCAGGGCCTGACACCGAGAGTGGCGCGAGGTGAAGTGACATGACTGGTCCAGGTTCAGCACGCGAGGTGAACTGACATCCACCTGAGTGCCTGATCCACCTGAAGGCTCTGCAGCCAGGTGCTAGCCAGCAAGTGGCAGCCCCAGAGTTTTTCGGAGGGCTTCTGGCGCTGATGGCTGAAAACACTGCGATACCCGCGGGGAAAAACGCCACTAATCGAACCAGAATGATGCTTGAGCTGCTCAAGATTGACTCGTTGGAAGAGTTGCTTGTTACAACACGGTATGGGTCGAAAGCCCCAGCGAAAGGAAAGAAGAAAGTGGAGCAGCTCATGGAACCCAATGCCCAGCACCCCTGCCTCAAGCATCTCCTTCACTTGACCATGCCTCAGCCAGGCAAAGTAGGCCGGTGCTCTGTTCGAAGAACATGGTCAACTCCAAACTCCCAGTAGGCAAAAAAGGAACTTCTTCTAACCCCACAGTCGTTACATGTCGTTACTAGTTACGGTTCCATGTTCATCTCTATCTGACTCTTCCACCAGTGCCATATAGTCCCATGCTTCCGTAGAGGCTACGTTGATCCTGGCACTGGCATGGCTTGTAACATCTTGTAACAGGGTTGGATGGATGGGTAGGTGAAAAGCCAGCCCCCCAAAAGCAGCCAGAACTCGTCCAAAGCCTCTTTCAGGATAAGGGATCGGATCCCCTTACCCCGAGGCATTGCATCCCCACGGCTGCCGTCCATGTGCGATGCGACGAGCTGCATGAGCTTGGCTTCGAAAGAGACTGACTGCAAGTCGATGCTGGTGGCAAAGCCCTTCATGCGGACCTGAGAAACTGTGAAGGCACTCAAAAGAACGCATCAAGAGTCATCAAGAGGTAGAGAGAGGTGAGAATGATTCGGCGACGCCTGGTGGAGGGCCTAGGGGGTGAAAAAAAAGAGTCTGAAGAGGTAGGATTTCCAGCAGAAACTGTTGGAAAGTGAGCCTTGTGTCAAGAAATGTCTTGGAAATGAGCCGTGATCTGCCCACGAAAGCTCAAGAGACTCAACGGCTTTTTGATGCGTTTTGGTGGTTTCGTGAGTCCCAGCATCACCCAAAAAGAGTCCCAGCTCCCTCCCCAGGGTCTCCCGAGCACAGGCTTTCACCAAGGACTTGAGATCGATGACATTGTCCTGAACGTCTCGCAGCGGCGCCCGCGCGCGCGCGTCGTCTCCGCGGGCGCGCCAACGACTGGCGCGCTGTCGTTGGCGTCGCAGGGGGCGCCGGCCGGTTAGGCGAAGGGTTCAGGTCGTCGCCCCCAGGTATGGTCCATTGGGTTGTGTGAACGGAACAGATGGGTCTACAAAACATGAAACATACACTCCACGGAACTCACATGGTTGCGTGGATGGGTGTTGGTCCCGAAAGGAAAAACTGCGTATCCCTCTACAAACCAAGTTTCAAAGGGTTGTCCACTTTCATGACTGTTTCAGTGAGAGTAATTCCTTGATGTTTGGTGCACCTGTTGGCGACAGACTACCACTTCAAGACCATGCCAAAGAGCTGCTGAGCCTGTGTGGCCCTTGGCATGTTGATCCTAAACGACGGCTCCCCGGGGACACCCAGTCACCTTCAACTTGATCGAATAACACTGGTAGCATGCCGTGCCATACAATGGAATCATCAGATCGCCCGTGTTCCTCTGGGTGTGTGTGACTTCTTCAGGTTCTGGTTCTGTCATGTTTGATCAATGCCGATCTTCAGCACCTCACCCTGAAACCCGTCCAAGCCGACGCCCAACGTCCCCCCAGTCATCTCGGGGGCTCTCAAGAGAGGGCCGCACGTCGCTCACCCGGTCTCACCTTTGCCTCTTCGCTGCGTCGCGGCGTCCCGTGAACAGCGGGGGATCCCGGAGCCTCGCGCATGGAGCCCAACATGTAGAAGAAAAGCTTCACGTTCTTCACGTCGATGCCTCACACGTCTGGTCCGGCGCCACGTCCGCCGACGACGTACAGTGGGTCTTGGCCAAGCTGAGAGAATGGACCCCACTCAACAAAGGATCGAGGCACTTGCGTGAGAAGCAGTGGGCCGCGGCATCCTAACAGGAATTGTGAACTCCAACCAAGGCCAAACATCTGACAAAGGTCAAGAAACTAGGATGGGAGGAAGAGCTTGAGCGACGGACAGGAGCACCAACGGTCCAAACAGACCTGGAGGCTTCACGTCAAAATGCACGCCCTGAAAGAGTCCTGAAAGTGGAAAGCCACCTGTTTGTTGAGGAAAATGGTCATCTAAGGGGCCATGCCATTCACTTAAGTTTACATCATCCGTGATCCATACCTTTCGTCTGCCGCGGGTCCAGGCCCACGCCACCCCTTCGCAGGCCTGCACTCTCTGGTGGCTCCATGTTCAACATCCAAGTGCAGTAGGTGGATTGTATTGACATCCCTTCATGAGTACCCTCCATTCATCAATGATCAACACTTGGCACAGCAAATGATTATGTGTCAACAAAAACCAATAACATGTCATCATGTCCCTATATCATGCTCCCTACTTCGTTAGTCCAAAGTGTCTTCATGAGTTCCTTTTACATCCTTTTTAACTCACACAGGCCCAGGCTAGGAGGCGGCACCTGCTTGTGGCGGAGAAGCCCGCCTAAGCCTAAGCACAAACCCACTGAAGCCTCCACAGCACCGACACCCGGCACCTCGCACCGACAAGTACAGCAGGAACTCTGCTTCGTCGGCCGCTTCCTGGGTTTGGACGGCTTTGGACGGGCCGTGAGGCCCGAGAACGGTTCGGTTCCAATCCAGGGGGTTGCATGACCTATATGCGAATGGAATGCGGAAGAAAGGAATATGACCTCAACATCAAGTGACCATCTCTCACCAGCCAGCAATCTCTGCCAGTGTCGTCTTCTCGCCCCGCCGCCCTGGGGCGATCCCAACCCGCCCGCCTGCAGGTCATCTAGGGCAATCTCATCTTCACCCGCCTCGACCGACGAACACCTCCCTCGGCCCTCGAACTCACTCGGCTCGCTGGACGCGAACGCTGCGGCACGCGAAAGCTGAAAGAAGGCAGAAGATCGGGGGGCCGCGGAGGACAGAGAATTTCTCGTGGGTCTCATGCCCAAGCAACAGGGAAAATGGCCAGAAACTGGTCAGGCGTGTGACTCACAAATTGCGGGTACATCCACGGGTTCAGAAGTGGCGCATCCATCAAATTCCTATACTCCATGACTTCCCTGTGATGGCCAAAGCACAGTGGTATACCGCCTAACATCAAACCTCAGCAGAAAGAAAGAGACAAGCACAAAAGAAACCCGCACATCAAAGACAACCCCATACAGTCAAACCTATCAAACACAGAAAGGCACAAACTAACAAACGAACCCGCACACCTCGTTCCGGCTGGCATAGGGTTTGAAGAGCTTTTCGAGCTCATCCGAATCTTGTAGATCCCTGAGGCTCTGCCTGCGCACGATCGGCGATGGATATACAAACGGGTGCGTCGATATTTGGTAGATTGAGATCCGTAGATGCATGTATGCATATACCAAAGATACCAAAGATACCGTGATGAGGAGATGACTGAACCACCAGGGCCGGGTGCAGTTGTTGCAACTCTCCACCTCTTGAGCCGAGTGGTGTGATCATCGAAGCGATAAGCGGGGTGAGGGTTTTCTTCGATGAATGAAGGACCTGAGTTCTGACCTTGAATGTTTCAGCTACATTGTGTATAGTTGAATCTCTAGCGAGCTTCTCACAAAAAAATAATATATATATATATACTATATACTATATATATATACTGTAACTCCAAAACTAGATTTAATCAAAAGAACTCAAATTCAGTAGACTTTTGGAGGATTCAACTTGTGAGATGCACCACGTGATCCACATGCCGCAAGATGTAGTTCTACCGGTGCCTCCCGGAGACAAACACATGAAGGGAGCCGACTGGGTCTCCCGGACTCCAGCAACATGGAATCCAGATCCGGCTTCGCCAACTTCATGGCCTGCCGACGCCGCGTCTGCCGACGCCGCCGGGACTCCCAGGACTCACCATTCTCGAACAGGAAAGGTCTTTGCAAAAAAGAATCAGGACATCGACTCAAGGCTTGATGTCTGGGATTCGGCAATATGTCCGTGTGAATGAGTCCCCGCATGGAAGGCTGGACAAGACCCAGGTGCCAATATCGTCTGAGGAAACACAACGCTCCTTGACCTCTGTTTGGATATCACAAGGCCTTACCATACGGCCTTAAGGAAGTCCTAGCTTTGGACGTGGGCATTGCCCCCAGCGGATCTGCAATGAGCATGGTTTTCAGCGCAGTTTTCGGCATCCCGCGGAAACACTTACCAAGTTGGTGGAATGCATAACGCGTAAAGTTCCAGCGCACTTCGGTTTCAACCACGTTGCAATATACATAGTGTAACCACCTGTGCTTCATCTACTTGAGCACGATCGCTTCAGAAACGTCCAGAATCTGGATCTACAATTCTCTATATACAGTACCTACTGCACTACCAAGGTTCCAATACATTCCAATACTCCAGGTTCCGCATGGTCAATGTTGTTGGCCCTTTGGGCATTTTACGAGTCATGTTCTCCTCGGCGGCTTCTGTCTCCGACTGAGCTCTGGGCAGATCCACCCGAAAACCCGAACACATCGACCATGGGCCTTTTCCACAAACGTACTGGTGACGATATTCCAGATGGAGATGGTGAAAATGCTGATGTAGACCTCAATGGCACTCTTTCTCCTCCCACCTCCCTCCCTCAGATTGGCCGGGCTTGTTGGGCGCCTTCTTTTCGGTGACCAAGCTGCTCGTTGGGGGATTGTACCATCGTCTATCTTCTCCGAAGACGGACCACTGGCATTTGGCCCTTGAGTGGGTAAAGCCACTCAAGCCATCAGGCCATCCTGAAAAAATCCTGGTGTCACTCCACAACTTTTGAACCTCCAGTTGGGGATGCCAAAGGTAGACTTTGGGATTCACCTTTTATTGCATCTCCATATCTGGGGTGTTATACTAGTCAATCAAATGTTATTTGTGTTTTTCAGATCCTGCCATTCATCTACCTCCATCCAGTTCCAAGATCCACTTCATCACACCCAGCTGGCTGAACGTTCTTCCCGTCACCGCCGTGCCGCGGCCGCGTCTGACGGTCCCGGCCAAGAAGACCGAGGCCAAAAAAGGGTTTCCTGCCCAGCTCGATGGCTGTAGAAATCGGCAGGTTACAGGCTTTGTGGGATGGAAGGCTTCTTGCAGCTCCAGGGTGCAGAGCGTGGAACTGGCATGCTCTGGTTTAGTGGCACCAGGAGCCTCACATAGCAAGCCGGGGTTCGTACAGTCCATCTAGATTTGTCCATCACGTGGCTCGTCCGTGGCAAGAGATCAGGCTCCGCACCGGGCACCCACAACCCCATGACCCTGCTCCAGCAACCATGTTTGCCGGTCAGACAGTTCGGGTGCCCGAGAGTGGCTTGGCTGGCTGTGATTCCACCATGTCATTCAAAACTGCTATCATGCTCCCGCGCATGCCGTCATGGTTTTCGGGTAACTTACCAGAATAAAGCATCAGGGGTCAGAGAAGTTCTGAAGTGGAAAGAACTTGCAACATGCCACGAGTGACCGAGGCGAAACCTTGTTCGCCCTTCCTCGCCACCATCCATCTTCATGGTTTTGCTATATATGTAGGTACATAGGTAGATAGATAGATAGATAGATAGGTAGATAGATAGATAG